ATCACAACTTGTTAAGTTATAGAATCATAATGTCATTAAACAAACAAAGGCAAACTTGAATAGTACGTAGTTTGTAGATTATGCAATACCTCGATGACGTATCATGCGAGTAAGTGTAAATTATATATAATTGCATTATATATAATACGCACAATGAACTTCTTACGAATCAAAGTCAGTTTCTTCAAAAAACTTCCAAAAGCATTACTTTATATAAGAAAACAGTTTCTTCCTTTCAAATGAAGCATACCAAAATAAAAACAACATCGAGGTACATACATTGTCTATATTAATTTACGGTGTTTTCAATTAAATTAAATAAATTTTTTATTATTTCTCTCGTAGGGAGCCAGACATCAATTTGCTGTTTTTCAAACAGCTACCTAATAATAGAAGATTGTAAAATAAAACTAGCATTCTTAGATCGACGAGATACATCATTCGCATGATGAAGCACTTTTTAGGAGTCATAACATTGGTGGATATGGTAAAACCGCTGCAATAAACAGTCTCTATTTCTGGGAAATCTAGAAACCGGAGTATTAGTAGATAAAGAATAGCCTAACCAAACATATGCACAAAAACATGCTTATCGACACGAAGCATACTTTCGCACGTAGACAACATATGGTCAAGGTGTGTCAAACACGTTCCTTGCAAATGATAAAAATAAAATCGATAAGAGAGAATTACGTGTAAAGCATGAAAAGTGTAACTACGTTGCTGACGCAAAGGCATAAACAGACCTCAATAGATAATTGATACCGAGTAATCCATGGATAATCTATGTAATTTGTACGTAATGAAAGAGGCAAATTGTCATAAGCTGACAGTTGTAACACGTAAATTTTAAAGTATAATGTGTAAAGAGATAACAGAAAATGAATGTGATAAACATTGTTATTTTGTCTGGACATTAACGCATTGCAATAAAATTTATACATTAAAGTCAGTCAAGATGAATATAAAACAACTGTTTGCTGCGCATTATTTCACTCATCTCTCGTTGCAAGAGGAAGATCCGATATACAAGTGTTTCTCAATCTTATTCTTTGTAGCAACGATACATTTTCAATCGAGAGAATAAATTTTTAATTTATATAAATACGGAAATAGCACATTATTTTATGACATAATTTTAATACTCTATAATTTTTTTTAATAAAATAGGAACAAGATAAAAAATTTGAGAATCTTTCATATTAAATCAGATATTTCAGATTAACGAAAATAACTCTTATTATTTCTAGAAAAATATCTTACTTTCCGAAAACATTTGTTATGTTTAATATATTTAATTAATTTTAAATTATAATATGAAATTTAAATTATAACTATCTATTAATTAATATTTTAAAATTCTAAATATATGGTAGTCAAAAATTATTGTCCACGTAAATTTGACAAATAGATTTGAAATCAGCGCAAAAGATATAAGTAAGAACTAGTATACTAGATTAATTTAATATTTAAAAAATTAAATTTTGTTGCTAAGTATGTTTTATTGTCGACATGTACAACTTTTTTATAAAGCTCAGCATATTTAAATATTAAAATAACATATTTTAACATTCATAAAACATAATTATAAAACATAATTATAAAACACTATTAATTTTTCCATTTATACGAAGTGTATTTCAGAAATTATAACACATTTATAGCACATTTTTCTTCGAGATTTGATTTTAAAAACTAATATGATTTCAGATTTAAGTCGATTCTGTTTTGATCTCGATTCTACAAAATATTTTGAAGTAAACAAATGAGTCAATTTTTAAAAATATGTGATGAATATATGAAAGATATTAAGCACATATTGGTTGATATAAACTATTCAATGACAAATGGTATAATTTAAGGTTGTACGCGCGCACGTGTATACGAAATATATGTACCTATTAATTTTAATCAGCGTATTCATTCATTCAATAATCTGAATCACGCCTTACAAATATATGTCATGTATTGAATATATGTCAAGTATTTAGATATATATTTAATTTGATTTGTCATTGATCAAGAAGTGATCAATATTCAGTCATATCATGATACGCAGTAGCGTAATGAAAAATCATGATCGTGCGAAGTAGCACGTGATGATAACGTATATTTCGTAATATTGATGATCTCTAGCCCTGTTACATAACAAAAATCCTTAATAAAAATTTAATACGCTAACATAAATAGAAAACATAAAGTAAATACAAAACGTAAATATATAATGAAACACATAAAAAAATAAATATATATATGAAATACATAAAGGAAATATTTGTTAATAAAACGAAAGGTATATTACGTGATAAATAATTACAGTAGAATAATTAACAATTCATAATTAGGATATTATTCTATCTGTAAAACAAATCATAATCCTTATGTTAAAATAATATTCATGAATAAATAAATATTTAATATTTGCAATTTTAATTAAATTTTCAATTTACCTCAAAAACAGAATCTTTAATAGTTACGACTTGCGATAAATTTTTCATTTATTTACTTCAATTTACATTTTCTACAGAATCACACAAAATTTACTTTTCTACTTGGTTCACATTTCTATATTTTCATATTTACGTTACATGCATCGTACATTGCTCCTGTGAATGAAAATGTATCGATTTCGCGGTACAAAGTTCGCGGTAATGACGTGTGACATGCATATTTTTGGCGAAATACAGATATAGTGAGATCCTGTGTGGGCGTATAATTGCAAGAGCGATACCATCTGCGGGGTGCAAATTCCACCAGATCTATATCCGCTCTTGCTTTTTGTATTATCAGACTTTGCCAAATCTTTGCGTAGGCAACATTCCAAAATATACGATCGTGCTTTTGTACTTATTTTATTTTCGTGTCTAAGTCCACGTTGGGAGATCAATCCGATATTACTAATAGAACAACCCTGAAATCGAGTAGCTTTCTCCAAATATATATGACACATCATGACCTTGACTCTGTACGATGCGAAGGGCGCACGTTCCTTGAACGTGAACGTGTATTGTCCGTGTATCTATGATTTGCAACACAGATTAAGAGAATTATTCGAATAGATTTTTGTTCAATATATTATCTCGATAAATTTATTGTTTCAATTCACTACTTTTCTGCGAAATTAAATGGATTATTTAGTTGTTATGTTACATGTTCCAAAAATAATTTTGATGTATTCTTCAAAGCGTGTCTCATGATATTTATCAGCATTCACGCTTGAAGAATAGCACAAAGGAAATGGTAAACACAATCTGCGGACAAGGTGAGGCAGGAAGTTATCGCGATGCATTTACATAATTACAATTATCTGAGGTTATTTAACACGCAATAATAAAGTTGAAAGTGAAAATCTTTCTTAAAATTTTACTAAAAGATATGCGACCCATCAAATCTCTTTGTATTTTACAAAATGTTTCTAATAAAAATGATTTAAATTAATTATTAAATAATTATATCTTCTTGATCTATTAATCTTGATATACCAATAACTATTCTATCAATCATATCAAAAATTAATAGACTGCAAACGACTTTTATAAAGTATGTTACAAAGAATTCTATTGAAGCACAAGATTCCTTTAAACACGTTTGTGACATTAAACCATGTCTAACGATGTTTTTGAAACAAGAACAACCGCTAGACAAAACATATAACATACTTATACATTGGGTACAAATAAGCGATCAAAGGTGAATGACCTGGTCTGTCTATCCCACGTTCCCATGATTCTAAAACAAGATTCTTTTCATCACATTTATCTAATTTTAATTTCAAATTATATTTTTATATTATTTTGAAAAATCCAGGAATTGATATCTTTAATTTAAATAATTTTCCTAAGGATATTATTTGCTATTTTCATCCATTACTTTGTAATTAAAATAATATCATTCCTGATCGCGCAGAAAAAAGCAGACTCGAATAATAAATATCGATCATATGTAAATGATTCTGAACGTACTGCTGACACGAAGAGACAGGAAAAGACTCATTTAGATTGTTCATGCGTACAATTGCATTTCACAAGCACATCTTATCGCTCTTTATCGACAAAAAACACATATAACACAGCAAATAAAAGAAAGATCGACTACTCTTATAATTATAAACAAACGTGGCAAAAATTATAGAGTTTTCTTTTTATAAAAAGGAGAAGAGAAAGAAAGAGATATCAATTCCCCGTGAGATCCGAGAAATGAGAACCAGTTCTTACATATACAAGTATATGCATGTGTTCAAGCATTATAAATTTATCACTGAAACCGCACGTACGCTATGCATGTAAAAAACAGACTAGCATAATAACGTCATTGTTATCATTAACGCGTAAATGCAATAACGAATCATATAGTAGGACACTCATATAAGGCTCTGAGTTCTTTATAAAATGCGTTAACAATGTATTATAAATATATATTATTAGAAAATATAGATAATTATTAATTATTAAAAGTAGATATTAATTATAAATAATAATATATATTATTCATTAAAAATGATATCTTTACGAATAATACATAATTTTTTAGATAATGTTGTTAGATATTGTTATTAATTATTAAAGACAAATTTATTTTAAAATTATTATTAATTATTAAAAATTATATTTAAGAATTTTTTTATGAAATATTTTAATATACACCATAATTTTTCTGATGTTTAAAGAATCTAATATATTTCTTGAATATAATAATATAAATAATTCTCTCCTAAAATTAAATAATCCCCTCAAGTTAAATAATTGATACCACACATACAAACTACACATGCGAGAGTTTCACGGACGCCGCATCGTGCCGACCGGAATTGAGACGCTTCTCTGTCAATCGCGTTTAATTCACGTAACGAGCGAAGCGAATATACGGAGCACACGTTGGGATGTATAAAATCTAAACGATATAAAACGCCTGACGTAGGGACGCGCGGCCGACCTGACGTCAGGGGCGAACGTACTCGTCGAACGCGATGAAGACGAGGATGAGGACGAGGAGGGACTTACCGAAATCGATGAATTGCTTTATCGAGAGCGGCGAAGGGTTGAATTGCGAATAAAAGTCCAACATCTTGCCGATGTTGCTGAGACAGTTCCGGGTGAGCTTCATCTCGCATCGCCTTGTTGTTACACATTAAACCCGCGCTCGAAGCTCGAAAGCCCGTAACCCGTTGCACGTCGAAGAGAGACTCTCGTCCGGAGAGAGGTGGTCACTTCGTACTATGGATAATGTATAAAAAATGTGGTAGCTCTCGTCTTTCGTAGTAGTGGTAGTCGAGACACGAGGATAAAAAGATCTCGCCGACTGTCGTACACAATCGCGGGGACTCGCGTCAACGAGTGCTGAGAACTCGACGGAGCGCGGTGCGGTATATGCGGGCTTCGCGTCAGCCGCGCATGCGCACCGCGGATGTACGAGTTATTCCGTGAGACAGAGAAACACACAGGCGGGCTTTCACTGTACATGTGTAATTTTCCTTTCCTTCAAGTGCAATATAATCGATGTGTTATACCCTGTGCAAACACACACACACACACACACACACACACACACACACACACACACATATATGTATATATATATATATATATATATATATATATATAAAATTATAATATACTTGTGATATTTTTTCTTTCTGTTCCAAATCAAATATTAAATTTCAAAATTAATAAATGTTCAAAGTACACAAAATTACTTTCCCAGGAAAATCGTAGAGAAAAATGTCACCTTTATGTAATATATTGGAATATAAGCAGCAAATAATATTTTTCTTAATTATACCACTTTCTTTTCTTTGGAAGAATAATATCTATTTATATATCGGCGCAGTACCTTCGTTTCGTCGATTCGTATTCCGGAAATGATAAGCGATATTTTAAAGCGCCATATATCACACTCGCGATGACATCGAGAAACAATTAACCTCTTCGTTCCATGCCTCTCGCGGCGCGTCCTTCAGCGTCGATTTCGCGCGGTCCTCGAGGACGCGTTCTCCCGACGAATCGATACGACGTCATTTTCCGCTCGGAAAATCGCGAGCGCGCCGAGAAGCGTGCTCGATCGTCCGTCACTCGTGCAACGTGACGCGTAGCTTTCAGGTTATGAGCTCGCGCGTGCTCCTTTCACGTTGGTCTTCTGCTAGACGGTGGGCGACCCGCGCGATTTCGGAGTCGTTTTTCGTCGCCGACCGGGCGTCCGGCTGCGACGAGGAAGCGTGAAATATCATCGGCGTCGCGAGGCCAACCTCGGCCGAGCCCTTCGGGGCGAACCAGGAACGTCGTCGACGGGAAATCCCGTCTTGTCAGGGACGTTTAGTCGCGCGCTTGACTCGCGCGCTTGACGCTACCGACTTCCGGTGGAGACAAGCCCATGTGGACGGTCGTAGCGAAGACCCAGATCAGTCCGTGATCGGTCGTGTTCTCGGTCTGCGCTGTAATTCACGCGCTCGTCGCACGTCCTAGATCGTCCCCTCTCGGTTCTCGTGTCACCCGGACTCTGTCGCGTCACCATGGCCGACTTGGACGACTTTTTCGCTAAAAAGGATCGGAAGAAGGCCAAGGGCAAGAAGTTCGCCACGACCGACGAGGTCGCCAAGAAGCTGGAGGAGACGGGCAAGCGAATCGAGAAGCCCAAGCCGAAGGAGAAGCCAACGAATCCCGAGGGCGAGGAGTCTCAGCACACCGAGGTGAGGCGACGACGAGGCGACGAGCCTTTCACGCGTTTTCCTAGGGCGCACTCCCGAGTTCGTGATCGTGCACGACGTGCTGCCATGTTTGTTCTCGCGGACATCGTAGGGTTGCGTCGAGACCGACGACGATGATGCGCGAGGTTCTTGAAACGATCCCCTAAGCGCGCCTTATGTAATAAGGCCGAATGTGTCAAGTGGTCCTTACGTCGCGCCAGCTGTTTCCGAGCACGTGTATTCCGGATCATCCCCCCGGTGGAACGGTATCCTCGTGGACGCGCTGTTTCTCGTATATGACTTTCGTGATTCTTTTGCGAATGCACTGGATTCAAAACGAATCGCAACAAATGTGTATTATACGCTGTGATACTCTAGATTAAGAGGATATTTTTGCAATTTTGTATAGTGCTATTTTAAATTCAGTTTCATCGATTCTAATATTTTATTAACCTTGACTCAATTTCAAGATACAAAAGTAATGGAAATAATCTAGCCTCTTAATTAGTTTCAAAAGTATGAATCAGACGTGTACAAAAATTGTTTAAGATGAATGCTATAGGAGTATCACATGTATATATATTTTTTTTTGTTTTTTAGGATGAGGATGAATGGAAGGAATTTGAGGAGGAGAAAAAGGATTATAGCGGTCTAAAGATTGGACACTTGACGATAAATGACAGCTTGGATGCAGAGTCGGATGACGAGAGGGGCACTGGTGAAAACAGTTCTGATGGAGAATCTGGCGAGGGTGGCACAAAACATACGGGACCATGGAAGAAGCCAGATCTACCGCCGGAAGTAGTTCCAGAAGTAACAGTAGCACCGCCAGCACCACCTGTATCTACGGGAAGTAGTTACAAAGCTCCACATTTAAGAAATCAACCTACGTTTACTAGTCCACGACCACGAGGAAGGAATGTCGCACCTGATATACATAGCGAAGAATACTTTCCCACTCTTAGCTCCAAGCCTCAGCAAAGTAATGGCAGCAATCCATGGGGCAGAAAGTAAGATACAAGTATATTTAATGATAATATTTCATTAACCTTAGTTTAATTTTAAAGATATGAAAGTAATGAATAATGAAGCGATTACTCTTGTTAATTTGTTTGTAAATTTGAAAAATTTTCTGTAAATAAATAAAACATAAATTAAACATTTAAATGAAATATAAATTAAGGCAATTGTATTAATCTGTCCAATAAGAAAATGTCTGAGTCTCTAAAATATATGATAATAGAAAGTATTAATTTCAATAAGAAAAAATATATCTATATCTATATATCTATAAATATATCTATAAATATTCAATAGGAAAATGTCTGAGTCTCTAAAATGATAATAGAAAGTATTAATAATAAGTACCAAGAAATTAAAATATATTATTAATCATAATATTTAAATCCATAATTATTTTTAAGAATGAAATATGAAATAGAATTTTATTTAGATCACTAAATTTAAATCACTAATTAAGGATTAAAAGATTGGAAATGTATTATACTTAAATATATGGATATTTTTAATTATAGACGACGAGAAGAGGGAGCATTCGAGGAAGTCCGCAACCGAGGCGGCAGCAGGTCATTTAACACGTCGGAGTCTCAAGTCCAAGTGCCCAAACTTTCCCTGGGCAACAAGTATGGCGCTTTATCGCAAGATCAAAGCTGAAAACACCGATCAAATCAAAATACATCACATCAATATTGCATCGTCGCTCTTTTCTGTTTCGTGACCCAACCTCGCCGAGAAAATATATTTTCTAGACTAGGATCACGTATCCCTAGCGTATATCACAGTGCGCATGTACACATACTCCGGAGTCTTTATAAGACTCGGGTATGTCAATTTTGGTTCTCGTCGGCGATTTTAAAGTGATCGTGCGACGGATCATCGATCTTAAGTATTTGCACGTGCGCTCATGGACCTTGCGGACGTGCATGTGCGCAAGCTTATTTTCATACCGTATAGACACGTGGTTGGAAATCGATTTTGATATTTCATTTTCTAATCAGCATAGTGTGTAGTACACTGCTTCCAGAGAAATGTCGGAATGTGCGGAAGAATGTGTTCGAATCCTCGAAACGTGCTCGAATCCTCAAAATGACAGATTGGAACAACACTGTATACGCGTCATTGTTATGCGCAAAGATTGTGTAGTCTGAAAAATATTCTCAATTAAAGTATTTTACGTGGTATTTGCACTTTTTTTTTATATAATGCTACTTTTAATTTAACGTACATATTTACTGCCACGATCGATGCCTTCTCATTGAATAGTGTCGATATAGATAGAACAGATTCGCATTGACGTTCGAACATACACAATAAATTTCGAGATCGGCATAGCAATGTCGCGATATTGAAATTCATACAATTAGTTTTAGCTGATCTATAAGAACATTCTTCAAATAATTTCCAGAAATCGCGAGATAAATTTTGAGCTCTCTTTTTCTCCATTTTTGAGAGAGTGTATTGCTTCGCTCAAAATGGCAATATGTCAACGAACAGAAATTTCTAGATAAAAAATTATAACTATATATATATAAATTAATGGAATTTTTTGTGAAGCTGGGCTTAAAATGGCACAAAAACATAAAGATGAGAAATAGCATGAACGCAAATTGAGTGAGAATCACCAAATGCGCAAGGCAAAATAGTGCAAGACACCAGTGAACGTATTGCGTGATGTTGTAAAATAGGAGGGAGAAAGACACACACATATTATACATTGTGTTAAACATAAAGAAACTCTTGTGTACATCTTTGTTGACAATTGTATAATTCTCTTTTTATTGAGCTAAGAATTTCTTTCTCGAGACGAAGAGTGCGGCAAATATATAAATGCCGGATCCGTTTCTTGGAAGATAGTTTCTCACGTTATTGGCGAATCCTACGGTGGGATGATGTATGTTGTTTTCGGGTACAATGAGCGGAATGCCATACGCGGAAACGATAGATAATAATATAAATTCTTGTATAGCGTGATAAAATGTGATTATTTATAAATAAATTTCTTAGGATAATTCATATTTACTGCCTTTGAGCATTTTTAATTTGCCGCAACGTATATCATCGATCAATCAATTTTCGAAATGAAAAGAAGCGAATGAATCTAAGCGTGCTTAGATATTCGCGAGCATCTTATTTAGTCGATCGTTTTTTCGAAAATGTAATATCTGTCGAAAGAAATATCGGCTTTCAATAAAAACAGCGTGAAAAGATATTTAACTTGAGCACGTGGTGGAGATGCAGCGTCGCTGCCTCTCGAGGATAGTTTCGAGATAATTTTGATCGCCACGGAGTACTCTGCCTTTTGTTACAGAATAGTTGAAATACACAATATAATTTTATCGCTACTGTTATACATGAGAGCGAGCGATGGAATGACAGGAAATGAGAGTGCACGAAAGTATGAGGTGCGAGCATACGTGGCATATTTAATAAAACTCAATCATCAAGATATATTTGATTGCCACTTTCTTCCGCTCCTTCATTTGTAAAGTCCTATATATATAAATATATATATATATATATATATATATATATATATATATATATATACATATATATTTTTTAGATTCAGTATCATTTAATTTTAATTTAAAGATCTGGTAAAAGTTTATTACACACTATTAATAAAACGATTATTATATAAAATCAAGAAGCATCGAAAGCCATTATGTAAAAATTATTTTTAATATTCTACTTCTAATATATTTCTGGAAAAAAATAGTTCATATCTACATATATAATCATATCTAATCATATATAAGTATGTATATATATATATATATATATATATATATATATACATATATATATATATAAGAGAAAAAGATTATTAATTATTAAAAAATTATTACTATAAGTATATACATTTATATATATAATTATATATATTTACATATTGTTATATAAAGATTATTTTTTCGTGGGCTAGAAATTAAGATATGTTTCCTCTTAAAATAGTTTTTAATATATCATTATGCGGAACGTATGCGCGGCAATACAAAATTATTTTTATTAATTACTTATATTTTCTGCACATTCTTACTTTCTTCGATTAATCGCAAGAATTTTAAGTAGTATTGTAAGAGAAAATATTCGTCATTCTGCCCATTAGATAGACTGTTCAAAGAACATCATTAAGGCTCGACGCGTCCTCATCGCTGCAAAAAAAACAAAAGCCAGTGGCAATGATTTATTGCACCTCCTTTCTATGATCGTAGGATGGATCGCGAACATACTTCTCACAATACTTCAATCCGTGACTTCCGTTATTGCTGTAAGACGCGTACATGGGACTATCCAGTAAGGAAGACCTGTATCTTGGCAGAAAGTATATCGAGGCTTTTGTCAATTCGCCAACCTGAAAAAGAAATAAATTCATTAGAAGAGAAAATAAACGAAATTAAATAATGAAAAATATCAATGTCTTGCGCATTCAATATTGAAAGAAAAATCATAAGGAATAACATATTAAATATATATACATCTCCTATATATTTTATATAGAAGACATTCAAAATTATGGAATGCTTTTTTAATAATTTTTTATTAATAAGCAATAGAAAAAAGGTATTTTCAAGACGATTTTTGCAAAACTTTCAAAATACAAGGGCAAAATAGATAATAAAACTATATGTTAAATTTTAAATGATTTTAATTTAATAGAATTTTAATTATTGATATATAGTTAATTACAAAGATATATAATGAAATTAAAGATTTGGTATAAGATTAGAAATTTACAATAAATAATTTTCCAAGATTAATTACAAATTGATAACATATTTAAAAAACATTTAGGGGCCTATACATATTTCTATTAAATTATATGTATATATACTATTTATATATTTATATATAATTTATATATACCTCTTCAAAAGTTTTCCCAGATTTGAATGCAGTTTCTGGAGCCAATAAGACTTCTTCTTCGGTTCGCTCATAAAATGTTGGATGTTCCTCTAATTCATCTAGTCTTTTCAGCATTTTAGAGTCTACATCATATATTTCTCCAAGCACAAACTGTTTATCCGAAGCATTAACACACATGCAATTTCATAATAATATGTATTATATAAATAAAAGATTAATTCTTAGAAAAAAATTAAAATTCTAAGAATAAAAGTATAAAAAGAGGTCAGAAAAATATACACACAAGGTTTAGTTACAAATAATTTCAAAAAGCTATACGAGCAATAATTAGTTGTTTAAATATAATAAAATAAAATAATACTTTGAAATTTATATAAAAATATTTTTTTTTCTTCAATCAATTTAATTACAATTTTCAGTTGACAAAATTTATACATGATTAAAGAGAAAAAGATTATTAATTAGTGCAAAAACATTTCGTTAAATGTATTTCATTAACAAATATAGTCCATTTGAATAATATTACATATATTTAAGTAAAATTATATATCCATTTGTTGCTCATATTAGCAGTTTTATTAAAAGCATTATTAATATAACAATGGATTTTGAGAGAGAAATTATATGAATTAAATTCTACAATTCTTTCAATTCTCTTACTTTTAATTCTTTATGGATTTTGAATTTTAATACTGTAAGAATTTAATTGATTTCTCAACTCACATTGCCCATGTTGGGTTTTTTCAGCAGAAACGGGATGTTATACTTGGTAGCGATTACCAGAGGATATAAGACTGTTGTCCTGCCAAGGCCCAGAAATTTTGCATAGCCGTTCGCAGTATCCTTAATAAGACTGTGATTCGGCTCGCCTCGTTTTAACGTGCCGTACACGAATACGCGGTGCAACGGACTCTTGAACAGGTTTTCATACATGTCGGAAATCGTGGATGAGTCGCGGAAATTTCACGTGATTTTCAACCGATGTCATCGATAATGTTAATCAACAATATTATTTGTTATCGCACGTTATCTATGCAGCATTTAAGTCTTACGAAACACATATCTCTAACCTAGAACCTTAGAATAAAAATTGCTCGAGTATATTTTAGAATGACACTTCAAAGAGATTGAAATGTCGCGAAAAAATGTAATTAAGAAAATGTCAAAATTCTCTTTAAACTTGCGTTTGGAAAACACACAAAATTATGTCAATAAAAAAAGGAATGATAAAAAATTTGACAATACGCGAGAACAGTCACGTGTAAACTGTCAAGATTATGAAATGTCAACACTAGATGTCAGTAATATCTTAGTTGGCGGGATTATTTATGATTCAATCGAGAGAGAGAATATGTGTGGAACAAAGTACATATATAAAATAATATCTTATATATTTTAAGTATGTATAAAAATATGTGTACGCAAAGTATATAAAATAATATTTTATAATTATATTTCTCATTTTTCAAATTTATTCTTATCATCATTCTTAATTTATATTCATATGTGCAAATTTCACAAACGAGTATAAAAATGATAAATGAAAAAATATACTGAAATTATCATAATTTAATTGAGCAAGTACAACAAAATTATTAATTGTCAATTATTAAATTTATTACAATATAAATAATGCGAAACATAATTTTTCATAAGAAAATTTGTCACGTGTTACTATTATTTATATTTTATGAATAGAAACCGTTCGCGTAATTCACTTATTACCTTGGTAAGCGGCAGATCCAAAATTTTTTCCGATGGAAGAGAATAAAAAGAATCCAATTCCATAATGGCAATATTAAAGAGCACGGTAACGGCGGTGATATGCAGCAACATCTTCACAAAGTGCAAAAATTGAAATGACAGTGTCAGTTCGAGTTCGTTGTCCATCGGATGTAAAGAGAGAGAGAGAGCATGCGTGGCGATAAGATAAAATTTTCGTCCAATAAAATTTTCAAACAATTGCTCTATCGCTGGTCACACCATCCCGCACGACATTATATCCAAAATGACTTTAAAATTTAAATATGAAGATTCTATAGAAAAAATAGAAAAATTAATATAATATACATAGAAAAATTAATATAAATACAATAAAATATTTTCTGTTCTGTGAAATAGGCAGTTTTCATTATATCATAATAATTTTGCACAAATTTGCATCAAAAGAATATTTCACAAGTGTACAAAAATAATTAAAAAGAATAATGATTATACACTGATTCTGCTCCGCAAAGTTTCACTCTCTACCGGTACAAGGTCCTTAAAATCCTCATCTAGAATTATTTGATTCTCTTGTCGTCTGCAACGTAAAAGCTCCTGTAACGTTGTCCAATCTTCATTCTTTGAAATATCATTACCCTAATTATAGAAGAAATGATCTGATCAAACATTGCAAATTTTTTTTATATATATCGAAATTTTTTAAATAATAAATATAAATTACCTCTAAAAATACATATAATAATCCCTTACTGTAATCGTTTAATAACATGTACTTTTGATAATACAGACACGATATCAGTTTCTTCAATGTCTTATTCGTCAAACGGTTGACTAGCCACAAAATATATGATTTTTAGCCATAAGTATTGTAATTCATCGAAAATTTGATGTTAAGATAACAAAAGCGTACAACTTAGACTCAAATGTTGCAATTCCAAATTTCCACTCGTCATTATGGAACCATTTATCGCCATAGTTTCTCTTGTAAATGGATGACTAATATTGTTATCTGAGAATTTTTCAGATATCTGTATAAAAATTATTTTATATTCTTATTTTTATTTCTAATAATTTCTGATTAATAAATCAAATGCTAAAAAAATACTTGAACGGAATAGTCTGATATCGACGAAGAATTCATTTGTGTCTTCATCTTTAACGAGCTGTCACGACGATTCACTGCATTTTGAAAATTATTATGTAATGGATTTTTAAGCAACTTGGAACATATCAAACGTACTTTTCTTAGAATTCTGATTTAAATTCTGACGCTGCCATGTGTGTGTTTTACTTCTCTTCCATTGCTTTGTGACACAAGTTTCTTGAGTAGTTCCGTTATCCAGCTATAATTATAATCTTTCATTTACGACTGAGCAAAATAACACTATGACGAGAGATAATTTATCAACCTTGCTCTCCAACTCGAGAAATCTGCGACGTCGAAGATCGACGACTTCTTCATGGGTCAAAGTGGACCTATTATATTATTAAAGATAGAAGTTTAATCGAAAGTATCTAATTTATAATCGCTTTTGTCACTTTTATTATTAAAAATACATGCAAAGTTCTTGGATTATCAGCAAGGCCCCATCATCTTGTATCTTGTTTCCGGTTAAGACCATGCTTTGTAAGGATCTACAAATATTGGAAAACATTATGTTTCACTAAATGTAAATGCTTTGCCTTGGAGAAAATATAGATGAACATCTCTTGAATTAAAACTATAATAATCAATTATTACCGATTAGTTCGAAGCATCGCAGCGATATACTTGGCGCCGACATCTGTAATATCGTTATCCGCTACATTAAGAGCAATTAATTTTGGATCATTCGGCGAATCCCGGTACTTTAATTCATCCATGATTTTTTGTATACCTTTATCGGATAACTTACACATTTTCAACGATAAATAATGTAAACTAAAAAAACATCAAATTAAATGTTCATCGCAATCGTACATATATATATGCGATTGTATAACGTACTTTCTAGCCGGTGTGCAAAGCAAAAAATAATTCTCTTGCACATTCGGATTGTTGTCTAGATTTAAATCGGTCAGACATTTAATTTCCGTCAACATTTGCGCTATTTGTAAGATGCCGTAAGCATTTATTTGACAATTTGGCAATCTGAGAGAATGTAATTATTATGTATTACATATAAATGTTAAATTACACACGACTCATTTTAAAATTTCTATTACTTGAGCACTGTAATAGTGTTATATTTCTGCAACGTAGTATTCAATGCGTCCAGGATGCAAATCGATACTTCCTGTCGTGTAATACAAAAAAGATGTTATGCGAAAACATACAAATGCGTGAACATACAAATGTTAATATCAATAACTAAATGATAACTAAACATGTTAATATACATATATATTTCTTCATGATATATCTTTGTCATTCTTATCTTTGCATTCCAGTTTTTGTATGTTCTCCATTATTTTAGGATTCTCGAAGGAAATGTAAAAGATCGGACCATCTTCCTCCAATTTGACATCTCCTTCCAATTTGACTCTAAATAAATCACGAATTTAAAGACGTAGAAAAAGTTTTAATAAAAATTAAAATATTTACTTTTCTGGCTCAAACTTCATATATTCTATACCATTCCTTATCTGCAAAACAATATAATATTACAAAATTAATAATATACAAGTCAATATGATAGCATATTTAAAAAGATTTACTAGAAAACTAGGCAACGGCTCTTCATATTCTTCGCAATGTCTTAAAAACTCGGTAATAAAATTTTCTTGAAGCATTATTTCTGATGTGTCACAAGAAATGATATTGATGGAAATCTATATATCACTCTATCTTAATAATTTTAAAAATACTTTTATATGTTGCTTTCTCCTCTGAATAATATTCTAATCTAAAATATATTAACTATTTGTCAAAGGTGTTTTATCTCTCATGGATAGGCGTATTTTTTCTATATATATAATGTCAGTTATCTTTTATTTAACTTTAACCTTTTGCTAGTTTTATTGTAATTTAGGCAGAAACAAATGACAATAAAAATATACAGAAGACAATTCACTTTTTTAATTTAGAACATTAGAAAACGCGTGCAATATATAATTCCTTTTAGTATATAATATATGATCTAAAAAATATATATGTATATAATATATATCATATATGATTAAAAATAATTTTATATATGATTATGAGCAACTATTATCTCTAAATAATTAAAAATAATTTTGTATATGATTAAGGGCAATTATTATCTTTAAATTTGAGTATCATGACTGTTAATCAATCATCATTATCGCCATCGCCACTCTCTCTTATAGCAATATAACAAATATTTAAGTATTAAACTTAGCATATCGATTATATTAGCATGCTTGCCTCCTTTATACACTTCTATATACACACACATATATAAAATATCTTAAAACCGTCAGATATTATCGGATCTCATTAACTGCTAAAATAATCAAGTTTCGAATTATTGTGTTATACTTGTTATAAAAATCTTAAATTCTCAACATTCTTCATGCATTCTTATTTGTTTCCATTCATACAGTGTCATCGCATTAAATCCCTCGATTTTTTACACACGTCGTAAATTCATAGATCTGGCGCCTTTGTCGGGCATCCCCGCTGTGGACGGAATGTAATAATGTAATGCCTAAAAAATATAAGGGTGACTAACCCTCAGTGACTGGGGACACAACTGGGGAAGTGGGGAAAAGCCTTGGAAAGGTATATCAAGCGAACCTTTGTGCGGGTGTGCTGTATGGTGTAATAGGAGGCAGAGAGAGCATCGAATGGCGATAAAGGTCAGCCGTGGGGCTTTCGAGGGATTAAAGTCTGTAATTACGGGACTACAGGGACGATTACCGAAATGATTTGTGTTGATCCTAACGGCGCAAACGACCGCGAAAGCCCTAGGCTCGATCGATGACACATCGTACGAGAAGTGAACAGTTGCGTTAAATCGATAGCGCGACAAGAATACTCAATTGAAGAGAGAAAATTATACATCTCTATGAAAAATAGAGATTTATATTATTTACAAGTATTATATACAAGTCTCACTATTGTATAAAAAATTATTTTATGTCGATCCACAATCAATCCATTATTTTAATGTATTTACATTTTTATTAATACTTTTATTTACATTTTTATTATTGATATATTATCTAATTAAATGAAAGAGCCATGTATTGTTATAATGATTACAAATAATTCAAATAGAGATTAAATATACAATAATAACTGTTAGAATAATGTACGAGATTATATTCCTCGTAGATTATATTCCTCTAAAAAATCTCATTACTTTTATATTAATTTTAAAATATTCTTCGACCGAAAACTTACGTAATAAACATTTATTAGTCTTTTCATTCGTAATTTATCATTCAAATAAAATTGTCCGAATAAAATTCTCTTGCTACACGGCGGTCTGACAAGTTTGCATCTCGTTATAGCGCTCCTCCATCGAACAACGCGCGTTCTTCAGTCGTGCTTCACGCGTCCAGTGAGCCGCACGTGAGGTAGATGATTCGCGTTTCTATACCGAGATTAGACACGATCGGTGATAAATTGTGCGCGTTTTGTCAAAGTAGTGACTTCCAAATCGATCCTGAGTATTAAAATTAAAACATCACTTATCAAAAAATGAGGCATCGGTTTTACTGGGAAATGTTGCTGGATTAAAAGCGGAAGAGGAGTAACAAAATGTAAATTGCACTATTATAACCTTTATCGCAATTTTTTAGCTGTAATAAAATTTTCTAATTTAATTTCTAATCAGTGTTTCGCAATTTTCAACGAAAGAATTGATATATCTCTAGTTGTATTCTAATTATTTTATATGCAAATTCTCCTGCCTCTCTTTCTCTCTCTCTCTCTCTTCTCTCAAATTAATTAATAATATTAGTAATATTGGAGCAAAGTAAATATTAATGATTTCGTTAATTTTTTTCTGAAAGAAATTATTATTACGAATATTTCGACGATAATGCAAAAGATTTACGTCGCGTTAAATTTTTTCTAGAGAGTGTTCCACGCTTCTTTGCATCCACGAGTGCATCCCTCGTCGATTGCATTAATTTACGAGTGTTTACATCACGATGTAAGGGCGCGCCGTAATCGCACATGGATACTATGAATTATGCATCCACATGATTTCGAATTTCTTTCAGGGTCATTTTGATCCTGAACACGAAGAGACAGCTCGCTATATGTTCGCAGTAATTTTACGCGATGCAAAACTGCTAAATTGGTACAAATTACGACATAATATAAACGACACGCTCGTCAATTAAACCATTGTGTCACTTTTAGAAGTTTGTTTCGTGAATATTCATTAACAGATTCTTTTTTCTTTATGTTTTAAAGCGTAGAAGACATTTTTTACAGCGTATTTTCACTTATTTCAAAGATATATTCGATGAATGATGAAAAAATAATAAAATGCAAGTGGGGATTAATTGGTAGTCTTGATTGCGATTTAGAGTAAGTTGTACGTGTGATAAGCAGTTTGATCTTTCTTGTCTGTCAGTGAAATGAGATAGCCATGAAATGTTTCAAATGTCGCTGCATTCGTGCACTCTTTAGGAAATCTTTCTCATTATTTACGTATAATCTAGAACGTGAAAACCATGCACAGTCATTCAGAATGAATATGAGTCCGAAATTGTATAAAAGAGAAATTAAATTGACATAAAATATTTTATTTTATTCAAAGTAAAGAGCATATGAAAACGAAAAAGAAAGAAGAGAGAGAATTATTAATCGCGAGAGAATGTATCTTAAATTTTCAAACTCGGCAATTTTTTTAGCATGACTTTAATCATGCAACTCTATCCATGTCTCCACGATCGCATTTTTTTGCACCGCATATGATAAAGAGCAAAAACACAGAAATATCTTTCGAGATTAAATTGTGTTTCTCCAGATGTTGGTGATGCACTTGGTGCAGCTGGTCGACCGCTTGTTACAGGCGCGTTCACTTGTAAATTCACCTTATTTCTCTTTTTCTCCATACGGAAGGAGGCTGGCTTGCTTTTTTTCTCTGTGTAAGGAATGCGGGCGACTTGTGTCTGGAGAACGACTCGATGAACAAAAGGGGTTCCCCGCGCTTTCTATGTGGGGGACCTTCCGGGCCCTTTCTTTTTGGCTTTCAAGTGGGTCAGAGTTGGATGGACGAAACACGGGACGAAGAAAGAACTTTGGAAAAAGAGTTTTGAGAAAATCAATCGAAAAGAGACATCAGAAAGAGGGACAGGATTAGATAGGATGGAATGTAAAAAAAAATTAAGAAGAATGTAACAAACTCAAAGAGATAGATGGAAGTTATAAGACTTTATGATCCTACTTCTCAATCTTCAAAAAATAAACAATCGTTGAAAGCCTTAATTCATTCAAATTCTATAAAATATGCGACTATAAATTCTACAAGTAACAAAAAATTCGTTTTATTCTCTTTACATTGCGAATTAAAATCGCGGAATAGATTCTCACGGATGTCGCGTCCGCTTTATCAGGAAATCCGCTATTCTGTCTTTGGAGAATTCCTTTTTCAAGAAGTAATGTCACGTACGAACGTGCATTATTTACGAATAATCTGTGAATAGCAATTAAAATGCGTCGCGTGTCATTGCACGTAAATGCACGAGTAGGCCGAACACGTGGCAGCTTAAGAGTAAATAGAAGTCTGAATTAAAGGATACAATAATGACTGTCAGTGGAATCGGTTATTCTTTCTCGAGTGGAAAATTAAAACATTCCAATAAGGAAAAGAAAAAGAAAAAGTCTGAAGAATCTCTTTCTAAAAGAAGACAAAATTTAAAAAAGATGCGAAGAGAAAAAGATTTTAATCTTACAATAATAATTGTGTGATGATGGCTTTTTTCGATCAAACAGGAAAATCTTTCTCTTCTGAAAGAATAGTCTTGTAATTTATGGAAAATTTGACTTCGCGAAATTTTTACACCCTCTTAATATTAAACAATTCTATCTAGTATCGTTCGTCGCGAATTTTTCGCTCTCTCGCAATCAAGTTGAACGGAAGTGTAGTAACCCACAAAAGGACAAGCGGTCAGACCGTTTTACATTCCGTGGGTGTTTTCTCTCGCCTCTCTCCTCTTCCTTGTTTCTCTCCTCCTACTCTTGTCAGCCGCTCTTCTGTGTCTATTGCTCCTATCTTTTCCTTTCTTCCTGGCCTTCCCTCGGCTGGTTCGACCAGCATAGCCAGTCGCTGTGTCATCGAGGCCTGATACATCATAAATATAAATTGGCTGAGCACTCGCGCGTGTGCACGCATAAATAAAACCGCGTAAGTGCGTGCGTGCGTGCATGTGTGTATGCTCCCGGCAACGTTAGGGAATGTTAATGTTTAACCGGCAGCGATGCTCGCCAAAAATGATAAACAAATCGCATCGAGAAGTTTCGCATTAACACGCCCTTCCGTACGTAAACACGAGAATTTAACAGGAGGAGTAGCTGCGAAGTCACGGCAATTTACTGCGAGAAACCGGTTTCTCTTACTAAAAGAATATAATGAGTTAAATCTTAAAGATTCGTTAATTTTATGAAAAAAAAAATATATGATTATTGCTACAAATTTTTGATAAGATTCATATCTTGCTTGCGTGGCTGCAAAATTAGTAACACTTTAAATGGATCAAAATAAGATTGCATAAACATCAAGAGAGCGGAAATAATCTCGATTTCAAAGCAACGCAATGATTAACCGCGTTCGTAGAATCGCTTGTTCTAGTTACACTCCCTGCATTTTGTTCCCCGTCTCGTTTTCTCTCCAGAGAGAGAATCTGAACATATATCTATTTTATTTTAAACACACAGAGCGCAAAAGGAAACAGCTAAAACGAATAGAATCTAATCGTGCTGGCCTTGTGGCCGCCTTCGGCGATTAGTCCGCGTGTTCAAAAATATGCATGGAAATGCGGGCAGCAAATGTGCAACTTCCAGAGGCTCAAGATAAGCTCGTTAATGACGTTTGTATTTATCCGGGAGTGTGCAAAGTGTCATCGCGAATTCGCTCCAGATCCGATAATAGACTTGACGAATAATTTCAATGCGTGTCCAATCTAAATAATATTATGCCAATCATAATTTAAAATTGACATAACGCATACAAGATCTTTCGGAGACATATTCTATTTCGATTGGATTATGTCTTCTGATTAATATTTTATATAATAACATTTTTTTATACATGACACGTTACAACTTTTATACATATATATTTACAAACATAACATATACACATAATTGAAATTATCGATAATTAAACCCAGACGTCACAACGAACGCGTACGCGAGATTTAAAACCGATCAACGACAGTTATCTTAATTGCCAGGTCTTCAATGTGAAAGAACCGTTAGCTCGTTGTCGTCATTCCTTAATTAACCCGTCGTTATGTTAGAACCATAGAAGACTCGCTCTTATCACGCTGGTTCGCTCATAAATAACGTTTCATCGAACTTACAATTGGAAGTAACTCTTTACATGAGATACGTTTCCATACATTTTCTGTTGATTAAGCTGTCAATCATATCGATCAATAAAAATTTCTTTGATTTTTTGTAGATATTACATGTATTTTCTTTATTTTTATACTGGAATCAAATATGTTCTTAATTTTTAAGATTGATATAATAATACAGCTTTATAAAATTATTCATTATTATATTATATGTCGAGATAAATAATAATTAATTTACAATATAACTGGATATTTAATTTCCTGCTGTACTTTACTTGAACATTTCTTTAAGTGTCAAATAATATAATCAGCTGGCATATTTGACTTATTTTGATTATTATATAATATGTATTATTCATTGCAATATTAATTACATTCTCGCTAAATTTTCTGATAATTACAAATCTCTCAATCATCTCTCATTCAGTACAGCTTCAGAACCAATCGATTGTTTGAAAACAAAGCAAGACTCGCGATAAATCACTAAAATCGATGGACTAAATGAGATGTGGTGAAACTAAAAAGGAGAAGAGAAAATGAATTTCTCTTTCTTTTTCTTTCTCTCTCTTCTTGCAGACTGGATCCCAAAAAGGGTGAGAAGAGGGAGAATGAAAACAAGAGATGCGAGATGCAAGGAAGCACCTGTCTAACAGCTGCCTCGCATATGGCATTACACTCGCGAGATTATGTAAGGAGAGTATATATACGTTTTGTTTTGAGATGCTGCGGGCAAAGGCTTTCAAAATAATTCAGATCCGCGTAATAATCGACAGATTTTTTAAATCTTCTCTCGCGGGGATAATATTTTTCTTTTAAAATTTGAGTAAAATACTTTCTTCCACGTCGTTTAATATCCTTACAATTTAGCGACAGATTAAAATTATGTCTTGAATGTGAAAAATCATGCGATTTTGTCAAGTATATTTGTGCCCATTCACAAAGGATTATATAATATATTTAATCCTATTGTGACCGCATTTGTGTGTGGGTGGCATCTGAATTTCTCATTTAACTCACGCATCTTCGCGGAATGCAATATCCTCCCTCCTTCTTTCCAGTCGCACAGACGCTCCGACTATTAGTCATCCGCCAATGGGTCCTCTGTCCGGTAACTCATGGTCGAAAAACCATAAGTCAACGGAGAATACTAATAATTTCCTTGTAAGTCTAAATCCCAGCGTCTGCGCTCGATTTCACCGCGATAATAAATCTGTCTTCTCCCTCTCCTTGCAAATAAAAAAATATTTAACTAAAGCGCGCGCAGTAACACACTCATCTCGTTGTTGAAAAGTATATAACAAATAATGACAATTAAAATAATAATGAGTTAGAAAGAAAATAATAATGAGCCGCGCTCTTCTATGCTGTCGAGATTTCGATACAAATTTAAGTACTAATTCATGACGGTAGCTCTTGCGTTCTTGGAGAAAGGGGTCTGTGCATGGGGTATCGTATTATGAGAAGGCGTGGCAGAGCTACATAACAATATATGAAGCCGGCAATTAAAATGAAAGGGAAAAAACGCGCAGCTGCCCATTTATTCGCGCAGTCTGCCCACGTGTCCAATGGGATTTATCTCTTCGTCCGCTCGAATCTTATCGAATCCATAGATTGTCAATTTAACTATGGCTCATTAATTCCCGATCATGCGCAAGAACAGATCGTCGAAGGCTATCGAAACAAAGAGCTAAATGTGACAAAAAATCTTTTAAATGGAAGCGATAATCTTCTCTCTTGGCGACGCAATGGCCACACAAATGAAACACGATTAATTATTCTTAATTAATGATCAAGCATCTGAGAAAGCAGAAAATTGCCGGCATTTCTTGCATTGTTATTTGAATAATTTACCATAAAATAAATTCGCGATCATCAAACGAAAGAAAAATAAATTATTAAAAACAAATATATCTAATTGTAAGAAAAAACATTTTCTTAAGATTCTCATAATAAGTCAACGTCGTCTCTTGTCAGAAAGATTTCATTATTGTATTCAAGAGAGCGTAAATATAAACAGTGATTAGGGTGTGATCCTAAGTAAACACATTTTCTGAAGTGGTTGCGAGTCACAGGCAAGAAGTGACAAAAGCAAAAGTGATAAGTGCGATAAATTTCTCTAATCTTATACAATGATACTGCTATAAAATTTACTTAATCTACTTATTTAACTTTCATAAAAATTAAAAAAAAATCTTAAATTATTTTATATTATTTTTGGAGACATCTCTAAATTCGAAAATGTATTTCAAATCTGAAGATTATGTATCTATTATGTATTGTTCCAAATATTGAAAAAACGTACAATCGAGTTATTAACATATTTTTTTCGAGATGCGCATCTTAGCTTGTTGATTTGCCGGTAAGATCAAAGTGATGCTCTTCAATTGACGGTAAGAGGACGAGGGCGATTAAGTTTGCGGGTTTGAAGAGCACTGAGAATCTTGAGAGAGCAGTCTCAAGCAGCACGTATAGTGTAAAAGTGAAAAGGCGCCGCCCTCACAAACACGTCGAAAAGACCGAAGCTATTCCAGACTGAAAGATAAGATGAAGCACTTTGGATTACTCCACTTTTAATGTATCATTTTTCTTTTCATAGAAATTTATCATCATAGGTGACTTAAAATACTTGATGATGTTTCATCCATTATGATAAAATTATTAAGAAATTTTTGTTTCTTTTTTTTAAATTCTTCTTCACAGGCCTTGCATATATTGAGAAAAAATTTTAGGATCGATAAATTTTTAGATTTAATTAAAATTCCAAATTAAAAACGTGATTTTAATTTACATAATTTTAGCCATAAAGATTACACGCGAGATATTTCCAAAAAGAAAGATCACTATCTTCGGAAAGGAAGCACAAGAATCAGATTCCAGAGTCAATCACCGATGAAATGTTAGTGTTCGTTCAAAGATTCCACTCAAACGAATGCCGCGTCAGATCCACGGATCGATTGATTTCAATGCCCGGCGAGGGATATCTCGTGCCCTTTCACGATTCCCATGAAATCACCGAATAAAGAGTTAGAACTGTGTTAGTCGTTATGCCGTAATCCGAGATTTGTGTATTCTACGTTTCGGTTTTGCGACCTCTCTTTTAATATTCATGCTCGAGCAAAGAGAACCTCGAATAACACCAACGCGCGTTTCCTCGAAATACATGTGAAAGGCATTTATTCTACTGCCAGCCCGACCAAATCCCCGAACTCGCTCATTAAACATCTCTCAATCTCACTAGAGAGCAGAAACGTGTTTGCATTAATTGCAAAAGAATTATCAAGAAATTTTCTTATCAATTCTTGCTTGCCAATTGTATCAATAATTATAAATTAACATTTTCTAATGCAATTTTTAAGAAAATTTTCTAGTGCCAGTTGTAAGAAATTTAATACACGTTATTTTTCAGCGATCGAGCAATTTAAGAATGTAATGGCATAAAGCGAAGGAACAATCGATCGGCAGTATGTGTTATGTGATAGTCACTGGACGTAGTCTGCTATGGACGCTCTTGTCTCTGGCAGCATTGATGGCGGTTTTATCGGGCCTCATCACTCCCAGATGGCTCGTGGGACCACCGACAATTAAGGATACGAGTAAATATCTTCTTCTCAACTAGATATCCGCGTGCGTGGATGCGACATCGGAATTCCCGTTGTATATTTATATATAAAGATGATAACGTTCATCACAAATAAAGTATCTCCCCATTTCATGTTAATAGATGTGCGTTATCGTAAGATACACCTACGCTCTATTATTTGCTTGTTTGAAAATTTCAGAAAACGGCACGGAACTGTATACACCGACAGTCGGGATCTTTAATCGTTGCACGAGATTATTCGGCAAGATGCATTGCGCTAATTTTAACGTGGACGGTTTCGCGACGGATTCCAACATCTTTCCGGGATGCTGGAAGGCTTCCCTGTTTTTCTTGTCCGCGGGCCTGGCTGTGATGTCGGTGACCGTGATGGCTGCTTTACTCGGATGCTGCGTACAGAGCATTGGCCGTAAGAGCATCTTCAATCTGGCGGGAGTGGCACAGGCCGTTGCCGGTAATGTTGTCCTTCGAGAGAGGAGGATTGATATGATGAGATGATGAAGCTCTGATATTAAGCTTCTTAGCTCGAAAAGCGAAATAATCTTATAAATGATGAGCGATATCTTAGGTATCTTATATGAGAAAAAGTATTATTTTTTTATATACAATGGGATCAGAAAATTTCTTGAATACGTTTAAAATATTGATAATTTCTAAACAAAATTTGTAATTTAATTTTTCTTCCTTTTTTTCAAAACGCATTAGTTCATTCTTTCATTCAATATAAAAATCGCCAGTCTTTTCTCAACATTGCTGACAATAAGAGTAATGCAAATTTTTAAAAGGCAACGATCGCTCTTTGTGTAGTTGACTATTCCACGTGCGTTTTAATATTAATTTATGTAATCCAGCCTTTAGCCTAGCAATGGCTTAAAATATTGATAATTTCTAAACAAAATTTGTAATTTAATTTTTCTTTCTTTTTTTCAAAACGCATTAGTTCATTCTTTCATTCAATATAAAAATCGCCAGTCTTTTCTCAACATTGCTGACAATAACAGTAATGCAAATTTTTAAAAGGCAATGACTGCTCTTTGTATAGCTGACTATTCCACGTGCCTTTAGCCTGACAATGGCATCTCGAGCATCAGTCTTTCCATTGTAACGAAAGATTGTGTCTGGAATAATCAACGAATATACACAAATTTTAAAAAACGATGTTTACTTTGCCAATAAGTCTAACAAATCAGATAATCGGAAAATGTATCCTTGTAATGCGTGCTTATAAAATAAATAAATAAATTAGTGTATCGCGCTCTAGTTTAGTGCATATTTTTTATTTTCACAGGAATATTGTACCTTTTCGGGATGATCTTATACCCCGCCGGTTGGGGTGCCGAGAGGGTGCAGAGGATCTGTGGTTCTGAAGCTGACGCTTTTTATCTTGCTAACTGCAGTCTTGGTAAATCTAAAACATCGATATATTTATTACTAAAAATTTTTAAAAATGCAAGTCCAATTTTGATTTCGGATTTTTATTATTCTTTTTAAAATATTTGCAATTCCTCTTGAAATAATTATGATGCACAGATGTAGTGTCCTACCCAGTGAGAAATGTTGATCGAATCGACATCAATTCAACATCGATTCGACAAATCATTTATCGAATCGATTGTTGATGTCGAATCGATCGAATTAATGTAGATTCGACCAACATTTCTCACTGGGTATTCGAAAAAAAATCAAATTTATATAGATCCCTGCTCTCAAAGTAAATCAAATTAAATTAATCTTAGTCACAATAATTTTGGAAGATTCTAAAAAAATAATTTCTTTAGGTTGGGCTTTTTATAGCGCAGCGATCGGCGTCGCTCTCACTTTTGTCTGCGCCGCTTTTAGCGGACAGGCGGAGAAGTCGACGGCCAGCGACAAGGTCCAAGACAAAATGAACGAAGGAAAAACTCTAATATGCTTAGCCTGAACGCGCAAATAAAATCAGCAAGAGGTCCAATCTCGCCAATGGATATTCTCGATATAAAGCGTCGAAAAGAAATTCTTGGAGAATTTAAAAAAAATATCCACCTCGTTGTGTTCACTGCATAACAGAACAAGGATAACTTTTTTTATCGAACGGAATTATACAATCAGAATAATTAATTGTGCGAGACTAGAAAGGATGAATATTTACAGAATGATATGATAGAATATTAAATGTATGTACTTACAGTCTTCCCACAACTGCCACAATTTATATAGATGCTGCAATGTTTTTGCAGAGAATTCCTATTTTATATTTTATAAAGTAAGCCATTTTATCATTTATAAATGTTCCGTTTTGTTTACTCGATGTAAAGAGAATAAATGTATTATCGTAATGAGAGATAATATATTTAACAGTATGATTTATCTTATAAGCACACATGCAACACACATTCACACGCACAGACACACACACACGCATCTGCTCAATTAATTTTTCATGTTCTTCCAACAAGTTTGATTGATAAATAATGGAATTTATTTGTTTCATTATTATTTTTCAACAGATTATTTGAAATTCGATCGAACATATAATTTAAATAGATACATGTACATAAAAAATTATCGGCTTGTATGTCAATCGATTATATACACATGTATAAATAATGAAGGCACCAAGGGAATCAACAATTAATAATGTACATGAGCGAATTTATACAAAATTTTCGAAAAAGAATATAATTGACAATGATAGGAAAATATAACGGGAGCAAATAACGAAGAGAAATTATACAACTCGTGTGTAACAACGCGCGATGTAATTACTTAAAGTATGAGTGTTATTTGGTTGATGACTTGCCGCTTAAAACCGCTGACCATTGATCGCAGTAACAACGCTACAATCGTATAACTATGCAAATAGAGATTGACGTGATGTGATGAGAGAGATATACGCTCTTATCGCAGGGGAATGTCAAATTCGGCGGATCACGGACATCGAGTGACGCGTTTGTCGATCACAGTCGGGTTATCCATGTATGACGCACTGCAATAATATTATTAACGCATCTGTCGTACATCTAGTGTATCTCGCTCTCCCTCTCTCTCACAAACATTCGAATTTATGTGCAATATTCGACAATTTATTAAATACGAACATTTTACAAATGTCAACCTGCCAGCGTATTAGAGTCTCGCGCGCGAAACTTGGAAAAACAATATTACGCAGAAAATTATTGAAAAGAGAGCGGGATCAATTTTTACGTCCACGTTTCGTGCAGGAGACACGAGGAGATATAATTGCATATAATTATAATTAGAATAAAGTATAATAAAAAATATTAATATTAATCGCATTGTAAGACAATAATAATAAGAATAATAAGAATAGTAGGAATCTTTTTGCTTTTACCTGCTATTGATGACATTTCAACGAGAGAACTTTATTGATATCTGATAAAAATTATATTAGGCAAACACTCGGCATAGAGTCGGCCTTGTGCAAATGTGAATATTCTATTTACATACATCAGCTAATAAACTACTTGTCTAAGTTAAGGAAAGTTATAAATTATCGTAATTCAGTTTAGCCAAGAAAATCAGAAAACAATGCCAATTTTTCTCCATTCTCTTCCTCTCCTTAACTTAGACAGTTTCTAGACTTTCAAAAAGCGACTGACTCCCATTGGTGAGAACTGTGTGTATGTTTCTTCTTTAATCGCCAGTTTAAACGCCCACACACACACAACAATTTACTACCTTTTATAAATATAAGTTAATAATGTTCGCTCCCCCCCCTTCGCTGCGATACGTAATGTAGAAAAACAGTTCTACAAGTAAAGTGTTATAGTAAATATTTCACGTTTCGCATTTACAAAATATTTTTATCAAGAGGCGACGTACCGTTATCGTGCCGCGTTATTGCGTTAAAATGCTTGGGATAATATGTAACACGTCAAAGCTCGATGAAAAATGAGAAATTTTTATGAAACGTAAACTCCTATTCTTTGTATTATCTTGCATGTATTTATACTCTCTTTTTTTCATGGATAATACTAAAAATTTCTGCAACTTCAACATATATTACACAATCTATCTGCTTAATACTTTCTCCTTTCTCATATGCATATAATCCGCATCCGAATCACGCGCGCGCGAAAGATAATATCTTGAATATGAATAATTATAACAAGCAGGTTTGACTTTTGTTGAAGCTGATTGCTGAATTGATGTTACCTTCTCGTACAAATTTATTCTCTCTTTCTCTTTTCCTTTTTTCTTCCTTCTCCTTATCTCTTTATATTCAAGTCAGACAGTCTATACATATTAATATTCCCTAGGAGGCGCGATGCGATCGATTGTATCGCTCGTTTAAATTCTGATTCAATGTGCAACGATTCATCGTTACGTTTCAGGAGCGAAGATCTCGACGGAATTATCGGTGTTCTGCGCATTGGAACGCATTGCTCGTCTTCGCTCTTCGATCATTTGTCGTCGCGCCTGCTCTCTCGCCTCGCGCGCCTTTTTATTTGCCTCGCTGTTCGCGGTCGGCTTCGCTTTGTGGACCGGTATGACTCGTCGTTTACCGTTCTGTTGCGAGGCTGATGCAGCTTTCTTGTCCACCACGACCTGTATAAAGTGTTAATGATATAACTGCGAATAATCGTAACAGACGGAATATTAAAGTATTATAATAATTGTTTAATTTTTATCAAAGAAAAATTTTAAAAATGTTACATTTAAAATATATTGTAATCATAACTCTTCATTTTTTCACACATCATCTTATATAATAGATATTTTTATTAATTCATTTTTTAATTAAGAGAAAACTTAGACTGCTATTATTTTCAAATTTTAAACAATACAGAAAATTTGCCGTTTTATAGGATTTTATCGGCACCAGTATAATTTCAATATATTTCTTGGTGAAATTGTTTCCAACTTCAGTTTTTCTTATCGACTTTCTTTAGATTCGCGCAATATATATAAAAGCCGATTCAGTTTTAATTCCAATAATTTTTAAACATACCTCTTGCCACTGTGACGTCCTCAGTTTTTCTATCTGATCAAAAAGTTCGTTTACTTGAACAACCTGTAACATTACCATATCCCAAAAACCAGCTAAATCTTCATTCGTCGTTGGAAATTCTTCACCCGGTACCTGAATCTAATATCCAAATACGAACCGTTAGTTGTATTCAATCTAATTGCAAGTAAAAAACAATTAAAATGTTGCTTACAATATTCTTTTGACATAATCCTTCGAATTGCTGCATCTTCTGCGAAGCTAACAACTTGGCTTTTCCCGCAGCAGATCGTAGCTTACCAGCTGCTTCCTCTGGAAGTGCAACGGTGTCACTGCTGACTAATTCGGCCTCTGCGGATGCGGCCAATGAGAGCAATCTATCTGTCTCTTGTTTCAATAACTAAAAACACGAATGTCTCTATAAATTTATATTGTCGGATTGTGTCTGCATCACCTGTATAGTTAAGCAGTTTTTTTCTATTACCTTCATAAAGTAATGACCATCCTTTTCTTCGATTATTTTTTCCGTTTCTTGAGTTTGTTTCGCTATGTTCGTTGAACTGCTGCTAGGTTCTAATACAGGTAACACTACTTTCGGCGCCGCTGGCTGTTGATCAGGTATGCTTTTACTACTAGAATCACGCTTCAATGCATCACCTTCTATAGTAATCGGAATTCTCGTTATGCTATTTTGTGAATTCATAGTTGTGGGAGTCTTCTGCTCGATTTTTCTTATCGGTGTTACCCTAAAATATAACAGTATTTCGTCATCAAAGCAAAAAAATAAAAAAAGACATTTGCTATTTTATTTGTAGATAAAATATAGATATTCACCTTTGTAGAGGTTTTATGACTTGTTCCGTTCCATCTGTGGGTTTTCTACTACCGACTACGGGAAGCTGAGCCCGAAATTCCGGACGCAGATGTCGCAAAACAGGTAGATTTTTCAACGACTGTTCCATGTTTGCATTATCTGCCGAAATGTTATTGTTATTACTGGATTTATTGAAATTACTGTCACTGGTGTTTAGTTTAGTGGTGCTGCGTTTGTAGAAGAAACCCTGTGCTAGAGCACCTGGACCGTAGAGCCGCTCCACTCGTTGCTGAATAAAAGATTTTTCGCTACTCGATGAAGTGTTTAACACTTGACTTTCAACTTCCGTCGAGCCATTCAAAATACTAGCATCACTAAATGATGCATCTGAAACTACGTAAAAAATAAAGAAAGAATTAATAAAAAAATTTAGAAAACTTTATGATATAAAATATATATGAATAAAATTAAAATAAAAGGAACAATAAATAAAAATTAATATCAAAATATTATTTCATCACTAAATATTTCAATTTTGAATTCCTTTTAATTATAGTAATTGAAATAAGAAAGAACTAAAATAAATTTTCGCAATCAAATAAAAATAATAAAACACGATACGAAAAGTTATTTAATTGCAAGTGATAAAATAGTGACACAATGCAAATGTATTAATTAAAAATTCTGCTAGATAGAAATTTCAAAATTTCATTTAATTGTAAATTTTAACAGTCGTAAAAGCTTACCAAACATAATTCAAATATATAGAAATATTCACATACAAAGATCAAGAAAACAAACTAATAACGTACATATAGGTACCAACAGTGTGTTTTCTATTACAAAAATCAATAATCGTCAAACATCAATAAAGAATGTCAATACAAGTATAAATCGAAACCATGACCTATCAATATAACGACAATATAGCGTCAACGACTAAATATCTATTTAAATATTGATAAAATTATGTAAAAAACACGTATCGTTTTATTGATCTAACGATATCAAAAATAAATTTTTAATAATTACAAAAAAATTTTTTAAGTTAAAATTTAGAAAAAAATAAATTATATAAGAAATTATTAAAATAATAAAATTAACAACTAAAATTGTATATTGAAAAGAGTTTTCCTTACGATTAGCAACGCCCTGCTTCGGAGAGGAGAAACCTGTACCATAGGATTTATTTTGTTGACCGCAGGACATCATCTGTGGCAAGCCGGGGCTTCGTTTAGTCGTAGAAGTACTCATTCTAATAGGACTAAGATCAGGAAACGTCGTGTGTAACGACACTCCCTTGTCGACTTCCGAATAACCCTGACATATACTGATCGTGCTTCTGCTCTCCATGTATGTTTCAACTTTACACTCCTCCTTCATACCATTCGTAAATCCGTTTTGCCTGTCCATCGCAAGCGGCGATATCGACTGACTCTTAGGCGGATATTGAGGCGTCGGAACGCTGAGATTCTCGTTGGATCTTTTAACATTTTTCAGTTATTGTTAGTTATTTAACCAATATACGTGTGTTTTAGAAGAAATAAAAAGAATGAATTGCAAGCATCTCACCTGAAACCTGCAGGACTCGTGTCCCTCGTGATCAGTCTTGTGCCAGGACTGCTATCTCTCGAACGGAATCCTTCCCTCAGTTTGCTGTCGTACCTGGTGATTCCCGAGTAGCCGCTTATGCTGCACGCCAGTCCCAGATAACTTGGTTTCTTCGCTGCTGTCACCTGCTCTGGCTCCGGGCTCCTGCGATGTACATTGCTGACGTTTAGCTTCTGTTCATCGGGAGTGAGGTGCGACTTTTGCAACGTTTCGCTGCTGCCGTTCGCCAAATTCTCAGGTGACGACACCGGTTCGCCGTTGCACCCTGATAGATTCAAACTGTGCAGCGTCTTTTCCGACACGGAGTCTACGGTGTTTTCTGAAAGAGGAAATTCCAATCTAACACTCGCAGAAGCACTCTTCTTCTCAGCTCCAATTTACGATCTTACAATTCCTAGAAATTACGAAAGACACTAGCGCAAATGTCACATTGCATGATTGAATAAGATTTGATAATTTTGGAAAATTAGCTTCTGCAATATTAAGATGATATAACAAATCGGTTTTGCATAAATAGAATTACTCAAGTAAATATTTAAATCGCGCATTTAGATACACGTTTAAATCATCTGTAAGTTCACTAATTATTCGATTCACCGTGTTCTTATTAAGTGATCAACTCGACGAGACATTCACCCTCGAAAAGTACTGCCACCCACGCAATTATGCATATGCCAACTCGCGTCAAATGAATCTTATTCACATCGTTGTCGCGCAATGCGACCTTATTTTCTACGAATGGAGCGATTTCAAGCTCCTTGCGTCGAAACAACGAGACTCCAACTTGGTCACACAGATCTAAGCTACGATAGACCGACGCGTCTCGCAGAAGCGAGATGTAGCGACGAGAGGTCTTCACGCTCGTCTAAATCGTGGCGACGGTCCTGGAACACTGAGCAGAGAGATTCCTCGTGGGCATCTCGTCAACGCCTTCTTGGCAACGATGAGGAAAAGAAGCATTGCACTTGATGCGCTTGCCTACGGTCTAAATCCGATCGGCATTTCGAGCGAGCAAAAAGCGCCCGCGACCTGCGAGAAGGTAACGGTGGGAGAGATCGGCGACCCCGAAAGACGACCTTGGAATCTCGAAAATCTGCATGGATCTTGAGTACCTGAGAATTAACGTAATAATACGAGAGATGCATACGAAACAAAAAATCTAAGCTAGTTACAAAAAAGCCTCTTTAAATTTGACTATAAAATTTTATTCTATAAAATATAAACGTGAGATAATTTGTACCGATTGGATAATTACGATTCGGTATTATTGGGTTTCTCGTGTAGCTTTCAGCACCAATTAAATTCTGTATTTTGGGATAATTGAAAGATCTCGTTCAAGAGATAAACTCTAAGAAATACATTCTTTTCAGGCGCACATTCCGTCCTTTTTCCCCGGAATGATTTCCTCGCTTGAGCGACGCGTCTAATCATTCTCCGCCCGACCGAGTTCTCACCGAGAATTCCCTGCGAGAAACAATGCTTCCAGTAAGAGACATTTTCTGTCATTGCAACAAGATTCTCTTCTCTAAGTTCTAGATATTATTTGAACATCTAATTCAATATCAATTATCAAAATTCCCAAATCATGAATCTTTTCTCGCGAAACGCTTTAATATATTTATAGATTCTCAGATGATATATAAATAATATTTAAATGTACATATATTTAAAATTCCTCTTATTGTCGGAGAATTTAAGATTATTCTTTCATCAACAAGTTAATTCAATAAAAACAATTTAGCCACGGAATTTTTCTCGATAACAATCTCTTATCAATAATGCGTCTCCCAATCGCGGAAACGGTGTTCTCAATGCGTGGATAGCCAACCTGATCGGTCGGACGCGGAACGGTCGACGTCCAGGCTGCAGCTCCCGATGCTCTCCTGGCTGGTCATGTTGGGGTGATGCCTGGCACCGATCGCCGACCTCGAGTCCGGGTCCAAACGATGGTAGTTGAGGGGTTGCACGGCCAGAGAGAGCGGCCTAGTGCGCCGATGTGAGCGGATGCCGCCGGCTCCGGGTACCGACGACGTCACCGTCGCGACGCAGGAGTCGTCAACGTCCTCCAGACCCGCCACCTCGCCTCCTCGGCGCTCCTCGTCCACGCGATCCTCGTGCACACTGCACAGGTCCGGTTCTCATCGCGTATACTGTCACGCGTGTGTCGGAATTTGTTCTCGAGCTCAGTGTCGGCTTACGACATTTCCACGTATATGTATATAATACGCACATACATATTGATGTGCTAAATATACCGGTACCGCTGCTATTTCTGATTAAATGTTTTCTTTATGCAAAGCGAAAATCTCAAAAAAAGTCAACAATTACTGTATAATATCATAAATCAATTTTTATAAAATTTAATTCAAATATGTCTCGAAAAGCTAGCCTCTCGGTTGAATCTCATTTGAGAAAATATTTTAACTTTCAACAAGGAATATTAGTTTCTTTCATCTTTCATTTTTATCTATCAAGTCTATTATTCAATATCTTAACGATATTAAAAAAAGACAATATAAGAAATATTGATTATTTGATTTTGAAGGAGTTTGGAGATTTAATAAAAAAATTGAAAAAAATCACAGAAAAGTGACCTCGATCATTTAATAATAAAATTGAAAAAAATCACAAAAAAGTGACCTCGATCATTTAATAAAAAAATTGAAAAAATCACAGAAAGTGACCTCAAATGTAATGAAACTTGAGTTATCTCCAAGAGGTCCAACGAAACGTTTCGCTGTCGCATTTCTCTGCATTTCCTTTTTGAATGTAGTATTGCCTTGAAGAGGCACGAGAAAGCGGCACAAATTAGCATTTACCGGTAACCGCGACTGCTTTTTGCACACAGCATTCGTATGGCAACTGATAAACGGGTCTCTGATACTGCTTTCTTTCTCTCATATCGTGTACCACCAAAGGAGCTCGAGAACATCGTAGGGACGGGAGCTGGCGCCACTCGAATAAGTCCGATAGATTACCGGTTTCTCGATGGACCAGCGCATTTTGCATGTATAATATTACACAGCTGGATCTTGCGGAGAGATTCGACAACATAACATTGATGCAGGGGAATCTCGCGGATAACAAAAATAGATTTTACAACAGTTGCCGCTCGCTTGAGCGAGCAAGAAGTCAATTTCGACGAGATTCCCTTGGAATTCATTCGGCGCATTTTTGCGACAGAGTATTAACGAGTCGTATATTTTCTCTCTTACCAATGTAATGAGAGTAATTAACGACATATCGACGTGGCACGCGCGTAATTGTCTGATAAAAACTCAACGCTTTAATGTCCCAGCAATGGAGAAAATCAATTGGAAAGTTGCACGGTGCAATAAGAATCAGATTTTTGAACTTAATGAAGGCAAACGTTATATGTTATGTGCAGGCAATCTCATTAATTTCACCGTGACTTTCGTATTTTTCTGCATAATCAAGACAATGAATAAATAAGCGATTTTTATTGCCGCCACTCACGCAACACGCATCAATGCCATATTTTCTTTTTACGTTGTATTATGCACGAATTCTCCGCATGTCATTATCTTTTTTTTCAGTACAGTTATTACTCAGTATTTACTAAGATAAATATTTGCAAAAAAATAAAATAATATAAATCTCGTAATATTAGATATCGATTCATAAAAATAAAAAAAGTTTATATAAACGTATGATTGACTTGCTTCCGAATTACAGAGGTTTATTTTAGCAATTTATATTTAGTCACTTTCACAAGACATGTTTAAAATGACCATCTTGTATTGGACTGCACGCCTGTCAACGTTTTTACTTAGACTTTTACTCGTGAAATCACTGAAGAATCTATCTATCATCTAAAGAGAATATCTATTAATATCTATTGAAATTTTGCCATTGAAAGTTTCCAAAGAATATTTAGAAAATTCCGAGGAATTAAAAAATATGAATGTTAAAACCTACAGACGTATATTTGGACAAGATAGTCATTTTGAACACTTCTTGCGAAGATAAGCAGATACAGATTACTAAAGTACCAAATTCAATAATCGTTATTTTTAATGAAAATAAAAAAAAAACATTTAGAGAAGAGCTGTATAACGGATCTGAATCTCGGAGACGTTATCGTAGAGTGGCACTAGCTTCCGATAATTGATTTATCGTTAACAACTCGCTCACGAGAGAGCCTCGTGCAAATGGTTCCGGCGTGCGAATGAAATTATCGGCAAATTGGCGCCGGTGTTAATTGCACGTAGCATCGGTCATTCGCCGCGAATCGAGCAGGGATATCAACTACAAGTCCGTTCATTTTAGTCGCACACTTTCTCGCTTTTTGAAACAAAACACGTAGATAACAATATACATGTATCAATATCGTGTGCGAAGAGAGAAACATTCAAGGTTGCGCTAAAAGTGTGGCTAAAAAGAATAAACCTTACGTACAATCGTACGAATCAAGCGGGTGCATATCGAATGAGTGCCAAACTATAATACATGCAGTTAAAGTCGCTCTCACATCGGCGACTAAACTCGCGCGACAGCTCTTCATGTTGCCCAGAAAAAACGCATCGTCCATTGACGATTGTCGCACGTTTACTCGCTTATGCAATCGCGACGGCAGTGTAAGTATGTAATGTACATAGAAACAGGGGGAATCTCTTCGAAAAAGTCACACATAGTATAGAGTATAGAATACAGCGGCTCGTTTTTCAAATCGCTATGTGCCTCATTTTAAGCACTTAAAATTATATCCCGAAAAATTAAACGCGAGGAAATATTTTTATATAAATATTTTTATAGACACTCTATTAATTATGTACCAAAAGTTATAGTGTAAATGAATCTTACGAAATTACTGTATTGTGATAAATTTTTTGCATTACAATAATAACGCACCGATGCAATTCCTCGAGCAAAAAAGTGAATCAAACTCCAAAATTATATCCCGAAGAATTAAACACGAGCAAATATTTTTATAGACACTCTATTTATAAATATTTTTATATAAATATTTTTATAGAAATTCTATTAATTATGTACCAAAAGTTATAGCGTAAATGAATCTTACGAAATTACTGTATTGTGATAAATTTTTTGCATTACAATAATAACGCACCGATGCAATTTCTCGAGCATCAAACTCCAAAATTATATCCCGAAGAATTAAACGCGAGCAAATATTTTTATAGACACTCTATTAATTATGTACCAAAAGTTATAGCGTAAATGAATCTTACGAAATTACTGTATTGTGATAAATTTTTTGCATTACAATAATATCGTATAGGATGCAATTCCTCGAGCAAAAAAGTGCATCAAACACCAGATTGTATTGTGCTCATAACGCGTTGAAGAAACGAGTCGCGCGAGTAGATAGATAGGTAGGTAGATAGATAGGTAAATTGTCCGGTGTTGTACAATGTTGTTTACGATGCGGAAATCGGCGCTGACATAATTGCGAGTTAACGGTTTAAAGTGCATCGCGGATGTAGGCGTGCGGCCAAGCAAAAATAAAATGTGTAAGAGATGAACGAATCATGCTCGATCGTCGATGACGATGATGATGATAATGATGATGATGAGCGTGTATGCGTGAACGCACGTGAGAATTAATCGACGGTCTGTTGGAGAAAATGTCAAAGTGTTATCATATAATGATATTTCTCCGTAAGGTGATGCTGACCGCGCAAATATGCGAACAAATCATCGTTGATGTGTCGAATCTTTTAATTTCGCCTGTCTCGAATCTTAGATATGAATCTCCATACATCAGATAGGAATAATATCTGAATGCATATGGTGGATGCATCGTACTGTGCCTTGACGTTTTAATCGCTCACCGTTAATATTCAGAAGGCAACAAACACCTTGTGTCTCCCAGTATCTGTTGCGCCCTGAATTATATATATTTCTAATGGGACGTTAATCAATTATTATTAATTATGGATTAATTGTCAATGACACACATTAAATATTAATCATGTATTAATTATCCATTCTCGATAAAAATAAATCCATGTTACTCTGCATAATAAGAGAGAAAAAAAAGCATGCAAGTGTAATACACACGATATTAATGTCAGAGCAACCCTGAGGATTCGCTCTTAAAATTCCAAGGAAATTTTTCAACCCTTTGCAAACGTCCTTCTCTCTCTTTTCGCCTACCTTCGCCGCCAATGTTTCCAGAGGAGGAATTTGGAGACATTCTTTTTCGTTACCGGATTCACTGTATAGGTACCGCTCTCAATTTTTAGAGGCATCCTTAGCCGCGAACGCGTCACTTTGGATTGCGCTCGATACGCATTGACGGCGTGCGGGCCGATATATCGATCGAAAGATGATCTGCGAATGTCAAAGGAGACGATATTGCACGATGGTATTATTCTCCTGCGCTTGTATTTCGAAACGACGACAAAGCGTCATTAAAATGCAATTCTAAGCGTTATTGCGCATTTTATATATATGCGTGTTACTTTATTCATATATGACCTTTTCTCTCTAAATTAATCGGGGAATTTTTATTCCTAATTAAATTATTATTAATATTGCCTAGTTACGTACTTATAAAGACATCACATTCGGTTTATCTTATCTGTCAATTAATCTCACTTAAAGAGTATATATATTCGTGATGCAGCTTCACCGCTATCGATTTATTTATTCTACTCGTGGTCAGCGCTAGTGATTTCTCTCTTTTTGCGTGACCCTTTGTCGTCGTATGGTTCTCGCGAGCACGTTTCTAGGATGACTAGCTGCCGAAGACTGGCATCTTCCCAATCTCGTCTCTCCGTACTGATTCTCTCTCTTTCTCTCTCTCTCTCTTTATCGTTATCTTCCTCTTTCACTCGGTCTCTCCCAATCTCTCGTCTTTCCAGCTGGTCTCTTTATCTTTTCTTGAGTCGCGAGTATTTTTGGAACACTCAAAAAACCACGATGGCACACGGTGCCGCTTTCTCTCGTCAACCCGCATGTTGTCTTTTCTTCTTCTTCTGCTTCTGTCTTACTCCCTTTGCGCGGGCATTAACGCGTGAACGAACGTGGAAGGGCGCACGAATTTGAAGAGGATCGCGAGCGGAAAGTCGGCGTGTCTACACGTGCCCGGCACGCGCGCTGCAAAGATGATCATCGCATAACTCGCGAGCAAT